GATACTGAGGTGGCAAATGTGCATACATGTTCATACCCATATGTGGTGTACATATATGTGTGTATGTGTGTATAGGTGCACAGCCATCTGTGTACTTCAGAAATTTTATCCAAAAGGACCAGACATCTTTGTAAGATGTTTAAGATGTTTTAGAGTGATTTTCTTTAAAAATAAAAAAGGGTATGAAGAATACAAAGAGGATCAATGAACTTACCTTGTATGAAAAATTTGTTATAAAACACTAAGAAAAATTTTAAAGAACACGTAAAACATTCAAACAGCTTTATTACCTGAGGAAAAAAGCCCCTGTTATTATTGGGTTAATCTATTAAAAGTTGCTGATACTCTGCCATTTTTACTTACCACATTTCTTTGGGTTTAATTTAATACAAAACCATGAGTTCGTTTTAAGATGGATTCAGAATAAGAACCAAGTTTTGCACATGGCTTCAAACAAAATGGGCACAATATTATGGAGTGTGACATAGGGTATTCCTTTAAGATAACTAAACTTTAATATATTTAATTTGCACTCATACTGAATATTGTCCCATCAACTCTTTGCTGTCCATTATTTTTCTTAAGTAAAATTTTAGCAGTATGCATCATCTGATTTGCTGAATGGGAATTCTGAAATCTCATGGCTGATGAGACTTTAAATTTGGGATGCCAGTACTGTTCTGTAGGTCAAAGATGAGTGCTTTTTGTCACCTAATTAGACTTCAGCTGATGTTTAGCCAAATTTCTCCTTTTCTGACAATGAATAAGTTTTCAAAGCACATGATTTGACCCAACAAATTAATATCACTTTGATGGAGCAATTCATCATTTTGTCTGAACATGAGGTCACTGTTGAAAAAAGGACTGGTTCTCTACCAGTTTTGGCCTGGTATTATTGCATGGTTAAGGCTTAGCTAAGAATAAAATCTCACCCAGTGATAGAACAGTGACTGCACCTGCAGGTGCCAGCCCGCAAGGTCAAGGAACAATATTGCAGTAACAAACACATAAGAGTAAAAAATAAAATCAGCTTTTCAACTTGAAATCCCCTGCCACCAACCAGATTGCATAAGACATGCATTCAACCACCAGCCTTAACCTGTAGATGGTCACCAATTATGTTCAGACTTTATGGAACCCCCAATGGAAACCTTATATCCATCACTTGAATATTTGATGAAGAAAGAAAGACATAACCTCAGTCTGGTCATGATAAAAACACCAGGCAAACTCCAAAAGGGACACAGTCTCAAAACACCTGCCCAGTCCTCCTGAAAACTCTCGAGTCATCAGAAACAAGGAAAGATGGGAAACATCACAGGCAAGAGGAACCTAACGAGTTATGAGTACTAAACGTTACATGGAATCTTGACTGGTATCATCCATTAGGACATGAAAACTTACGTTCTTATCCAAATCTCCACATGAAGGTTTATAATAGCTTATTCATAATTGCCAAAACATATCAGAAGAAACTGGTATATTCTTTAGTATTCTTTGGATAAACTGTGGTACATCCAGAAAGTGAAATATTATTCTGTGCTAAAAAGGAATGAGTTACCAAGCCATGAAAACACATGGTGGAAACTTAAAATCTTATTACTGAGTGAGAAAAACCAATCTGAGAAGAATAAATTCTATATGATTCCGACTACATGGAATTCGTCAAAGACGAAACTATGAAGACAATATAAAGATCGGTGATTACCAGAGATTGGGTGGAGGAGGGATAAATATGTGGCACACAGTGGATTTTTAGGGCAGTGAAACTACTCTATATGATGCTATAATTGTGGAAATATGTCATTATACATTTGCCAAAATACACAGATTGTACACCAAGAGTGAACTATTATGGAAACTGTGGACTATGGGTAATTATAATGTGTCAAGGAAAGTTCATCAACCATAATGATTGTACCCCTGCAATGTAGGATGTTGGCAGTGTGAGTAGCTGTATCAGTGCAACAGGATACATATGTGGTAATTCTCTGGGAATTTTGCTGGGAACCAAAAACTACTCTTCAAAATAAGGTCTATTAATGACTACAAAAAGAACATTAGGTAAAAAGTATGGAGGGCTGAACAAAATATGGAATCTAACTAGTAATAATGTATCAGTGTTGATTCAATTGTTTTATAACTGTAGCACTATGATGGAAAAGACAGGTGATATGGAGACCTGGGCGGGATATGGGGCAAGAGAAAAAAATTATAATTATTTTGCAAGGCTTATAATATTCTTACATTTGAAAATATATAAATTTAGAATGAGAAGAGAAAGAGTTTACAATTTATCAAAGTTTGGGCATGGTAATTTCTTTTTAATAAGAACATTGGAAGTGGTCTCCACTTAATTCTTCTCCAGTGGTGTGTCAGGCATGTCCTCAGCCTACCTGAGCCTCAGCTACATGTCTGCACCATGAAAATCCAGCATGTACTTTCCTCTTTGGGTTTCTGTAGGAAAAAGTCAATGAGCCTTTACATACTCCTCCAGGAGGCAGTGATCTCCTTCACTCTGGGAGCATGAGGAGGCAGTAGGAAGCTGCTGTGGATAGCCTTACTAGGGTTCCAAACCTCTCCAGTTTCCTCAGGGCACTATAGTAGAAGTGCATCATTTTCTTAGTCTACTGAAATGTGAAATAACACAGCCTCATCACAATGCTGGCACATATAAACACTAACTGGGAGTGATAATCTATTTCTCTCCATGAACATCCATGAAAGGATGGAGAACATAGGCAATAATAAGGGGACCAATGACACCAACGGGAAAGAGATGACATATGAGCTGAATCTTGAAGCACAAGCAGGTGTGTGCCTGGCAAACTAGAACTGGAAGGACATTTCAAGTAAGGGTAGCGGCAGGATCAAAGACAGGAATGGAGCAAGCAAGTGTACCAAGTATTCAGGAAATGTTGAACAAGTGGTTTAGTGTGGCCTGATTAGAGGGTGAGTGTGTGTGTGTGCGTGCGTGTGTGTGTGTGTGTGTGTGTGTGTACATGAGTTTGGAATGACAGGCAGAGCCAATAGGGAAAAAACTACACAACTTGGTCTAATATTGTGTCCCCTGCTTGAAAAGAACAATCAAGGCAGAAGTTGGGATGGGATCACAGGAAGACTAAAGGTCCATGCAAAGCCGCTGGGCGAAGTTCCATGTTCCCTAACAAAATTTAGAGACAATTCTCAGAAAAGATCCTGGGTCCATGTTTCCTTATAAGTATGTTTCATATTCTGACCTACAGTCCTCTTCCAGAGAACCTGTCTTCTTCTTGAAGATCAAGATGAATTTCTCATTTTGCAGGAGACCACTGTGGTCAATAGCTCCCTGGGAAACAAAGCAGTTTTATTTTGCCTATGTCTAAATAATTCCCCAAAATATCACATTGCCAGTGTGTGTTTATGCTCAATAAGGTGTTCAGGACAATGAGGATGGATCTTGGGGTGATCCTATTTTACAAAAAGCTTGGAGTTTGGAGGAAATAACCACATCTAATGAAATTCGTGAAGAAATTCCTTGAATCATGGAGTGAACCAGTCGATATCTATATCTCTGTGACCTTGGAATTCCCAAACAGGCTGGAAGAAGCCCACCATAGTTATGACTTTTGGTATCTTTATTGTGGGTCAGGACAATATTCTTAAAAAATTTCTATTAGATGCCAACTTAATTTCATATCCATACATCTGGATGTTACTCTATTTCTTAAAAGTACATCAAGTCTCTACTTTTATTTTTACAAATGTATATATGAAAAAAATTCATGAGGTCTGAAAATGCTGACCCCCATGCCAACATGTTCTCAGTTATTTGATGCTGGGTGTTGCCACTTAGTTTATCAGGACTACCCAGTTTACCACAGTCTCCACCATTTTTATTGTCCCTGTCCCAAAAACAAGGGTCAGTTGGCATTTACTTTCAGTCTGGTGCTATTGTTTCCTTATACTTGAGTTAAAAAGAAAAAAAAAATTTCTTGTGCCCAAATATCATAAAAAGTGAGGCGACAAAATGTAGTGAAGTCCACATCTTTGTGAAATGAGTCTCCTTCAGTATGCTAGTTGTGAAAAACAAGCACGTCTGTTTTTAATGAACACAACTTGAAACCCCATTATGAGCCAAATCTGTTCTGCTTCATTTTATGTGAACAGTTTAGCCCCATAAAATATTTAGTATGAGCCCAAAATAAAGTACTACTGTTGTCAGCAATCTGTAGATGAACAAATGGAGGTTCAGAGAGGTTAATTGGTTGGGGAAGCTCACACAACTAAAATGCCATCTCCAGGATTCCATGTAGGTCATTCTAGTATAAGACTCTGCTTATGGAAGGCTGACCAGAGGGAAATCCTTGTGTGTGACCTGAAGGTGATTTCAGCAGAAATTCCCCAGACCAGGAATTCGCTCTTTACCAGCCTTTCAGAGCCCATGGATTCTTCTGTCCACACAGTAACTTCAGGTGCCTCTGTGAAAATAGACTCGGAAACCAAGACAGCTTCCTCAGCTTCAGGCAATCATTCACAAACATTTCTTGAGAGAGACAGTAGGAACAATCAGACTGCATGTGGGTAGTCCCAGTGTTCAACTCTGGACTCCTCATCCTCTCAGCTTTGTGACCTTGAACAATCCCTAAATATAATAAGCTCCAATTTTCCATCTGTAAAATGATAGGAGTCCTGGTTACTGTATTGTGGGGTGGGTGTATTGGGAATTCAGGGAGAGCTTTTGGTAAAATAAGCAGTACAGGCCTTGGAAGCTATGACAGTTTTGCTATTGCCCCGTAGATATTGCTGCTGGGGTCCTCATCCCATCAAGAAGGGTCTTTGTAAGGCTGAGCTGCCCTCCTACCCTGGCCACTGGGGGACAGGGAAGGACTTGAAGGAAGCAGGTATAATGCCCTACATATACCTCCTCCCACAGGATTACACCAACCACTTTCCCTGCAGTAACTGGCTTCCTCCCAAGGGGCCTGGCTGGGAGGAGTGTGATAAAGATAGACAGGGGTGTGTGTTATAAAATTCATCTACCAAGGATTCAATAAAAAGGGCCTTCCCTGCCTGCCACAGCAGATGAGACTGCCGTAAGCCTACAAGCTCACCTCACTCCCACATCTGAGATTACATTGGATCTGCATACTCCGAATAAGGTAAGAGTCTGGCTCTGTTAAGAGTTTGATTCCCCACCTTTCTTCTCACTACACTGAGGACTTCAAGATCCTATCAGGGACCATGCGGGCTGAGTCTCAATGCCCTGATGAACAACTAGGTCTTTACGGGTTGTACCTAGGCCCCCATCCACCCTTCATTCAGGAGCCCACATACCTGTGACTGTCTATCTCCCTTTTTCAATTCTGAGGAAAGACCACAAACCCAGGATGGAAATACATTCTGAACCATTTTCTGGGTCTCTCCCTTATACAAACAAAATCTATATTACTTTTAAAATTGAGCACTAATGGTATGAATCATCTTATCATGAACTATGCCAAATGAAACCCTAAGTAGTTTATAACTTTCTTATTTGTTGTCAATATTTCCAAAGGAGAGAGTAAAGTTGAAATGCAAGAGGTGAGCAAAGTTGGTGGTATAAAAGCCAAAGAGATAAGTTCTAGCTCCTTTCCCATTTTGTCACTTGCCCAATATGGGATATTGAACAATTCATTTACCAGTGTGAGCCTGAGCTGCCACATCTGTTACCTGGGCGTGATTTATTTTTACTTACCAGGAACAGCTTTTGAGTGGATTATGCAAGGGAGAATCAAATAGTGGTCAAGGTCATAGCATACAGCAGGTGTTAAATAGAAGTGCTATCTTTTCTTCCACCATTTTTTAAAAAATCTAGTCTAGTGCATGGTATAGAGTAGATATTCCATAAATGCTTGTTTAATGAGTAAATGAAGGAGTGAGGGAGTGAGGGAGTGAGTGGGCAAGCAAACATAGGAATAAAGGAGTAGTGAATGAGAGTTTATTTGGCTCAGAGAGTGGTGAAGAAATGGTGGAAGAGTAGGAGGTTTTTAACATTCAGGACTCAATTCAAGCCAAAATATGAAGAGATGAGCTGCTGGTCTAATAATTCCAGGAGCCAGGATTCTTGATCTCACCTCCAAGCAAGGAGGCATATGTCAGTGTAGAGGGAGGGTTACCCTGCAGCTCTGCATTGCTGAACTATTGCCCAGCACTGACACACCTGCTCTTGTCAAACAGGTTTCCACCAAGCTGAAGCCATGAGGATCCATAGCCTCACCCTGCTCTCCTTCCTCCTTCTGGTTGCTCAGGTGACACTGGTGAAGGGCAAAAAGGAAGTAAAGAATAGACATGTCAGCAAAGGCACCAAATTGCCTACTCTGGGAGAGACCCAGATTGAACCACCCAAACACCTGACCAAAGGCAAGTTTGTCACTCAAGACCATGCCAACTGCAGATGGGTGGTGACTGAGCAAGAAGAGGGCATCACCCTGAAGGTTGAGTGCACCCGAGAGAACACTAAATTTTCCTGTGTCTTTACTGGCAATCCAACTTCCTGCCTAGAGTCAAACAAAAAGAATGTCTATTGGAAACAAATAGGTCGGAACCTGCGCTCTCAGAAGGTAATCTGTGGGAATGCCAAAACCATCCTGAAAACCAGGGTGTGCAGAAAGAAGTTTCCAGAATCCAATCTCAAGCTGGTGAACTCCACTCTGATTCAGAACAAGAAACCCTCCCAGGGGTTAATGGAGCCCTCTCCCAAGGAGCAGAGCAAAGTCAGTAAGGCCTTCCTCATGGAACCTAGCAAGGTCAAAGAGTTATCCCCAAAGGAGCAGAAAAAGGTCAAAGAGAATATCCCCTTGGGCTCAATGGAGACTCATACCATAGCTACCAAGGATCCAAAGTGTGTGGAGGACCCAGACTTGATAAACCAAACAAAGATGGCCCTGGACTACTGTGGGGAATCCTGGAGCTCTATCTGCCAATTCTTCATCACTATGGTCCAGGGCAGTTCATGCTAATGAGTCAAAAGAGAACAGAGTCCTTTAGGAGGTGCTATGTCAAAGTCCTTCAGTATGCTGTCAAGCTCTCTGAGTAAAATGAACATTTGTGCTATGAGAGTGCAGTGGAATATGTAAACAGATTTTGTAACTTTTGTTTTTGTGGTTTGGAATTTACTTTATATTCATTTCCTTAAATTTTTACTTCAGAGATTGTTTACCTCAATGTATGTTTCCATGCCCCACAAAGCTATGGGTATATGAACAGTGAGGACCATTCTTTGAGCTGAATGAGCCAGAGTGATGATTCCAGTGCAATGTACTTTCTGCTGAATTAACAAAGTTAATAAAGCTCTGGGTATTTTTCAGAAATATGTTCAACCATTTTTTGTTTATTTCTACTTTCAATGAACTCAAAATAGTCCCCATATCTGGGGGAAAAATATCTAAGTAATGACTCATCCTAAGTCATCTGCAATGTGACCCATTCCAAAATCCCTATCTTAATCCTTTCATCCATTGGTCTGTGGTGTTTGGTGCTCACTGCACTGTAATAATTAGGATCCCTGATTTCAGGTGGGTCAAATAAGGCATGGTGTGATTAAAAAAACAAATCAGGGTCTCACAGATGGTAAGAAAGAAGGAAGGATTTGAACCCAGAAGGTCTGTAAAACCAAGTCCACAAGCAAGAGGAACGCCCTCTACTGACTCAGGTCAGAGCTGGGCATCTCTTCTTGCTATATGTGAGACCCCTGATTTTTAGGGGTTCATTTCTGGCCTGGGGGAGAGAAGCTTGGTTAAGTACAGTGTCCTGTGATGAAAACCCCAGTGTAAATAGGAAAAGAAGGTGGAAGCTGCTGGAAGAACTCTGGTTGAACTTCATGGAAGAGGTATTACTGGAGCTGGATTTTGGAAAGAATATTCTTAGGTAAGAAAAGAGACAGAATGAAGACACTTTGGGCAGATGACAACATGTATCAAAGCAAAGAGACATAAAAATCCTAGAAGCTGGGAGAAACCAGGTGGCTGGAATATGGTAGGAAGTAGAGATGATACTACTGTTAGTCATTTACATGTTAGTAAGAAGTATCTGAAAGTGTTTTTTTCAAGAGTTGGGGAGAGAGGAGGTTGTGGTCCTAATGCCTTGTCACAATTTCACTAAGAGCAAAAAGCGAAGAACAAAATATGGTTAAAAAAAAAAAGACAAAAAACCACTCACTCACTTTAGAGTCTCTGTCGGTTACAGAGAAGAATGGCAGGTAGCTTGGAAGAGAGACCATTTACACTCACCAAATTACCAGGACCTACACTGAGGATTGTCAGTGGCCAATCCAGAGTGTGTCATTACTCACATTATCAACACTAACATTCATCTCTCACTTGCTATGTGCCAGACACTGTGCTAAACTTTTTCCGTGGAGTCTGCATACATGCATTCATTCAACATGTAATTTATTAAGCACTGAAGCTGCCAGACTCTGTTCTAGGTGCTGAAGATACATCTGTCCATAGTAGATGAGTGTATGGATGGTCAGCCCCTTGAAACTACCAGTGGGAAATTGATGATAAAATCACAAACATACAAGAGATAGAGAGGGAAAGTAAAGGAGGAGAAGGGGGTAACAGTGATGAAGTGTAACCAGTCTTAGATCAGATGGTCAGGAGAGGCTTCTCTGTGGAGGTGACTTCTGATTCTAGATATGTATGAAGAAGTAACCAAGCCTAGAAACTCTCTGGAATAGGGATGTTCCTAGCAGAGGGAACAGTCAGTTCTAATGCCCTGAAATTACTTTATATGGCAGACACTCTTCTAGGACTAGAAAATGGCAGCAAACAAAAAGAAAAAAAATCCCTCTTCTCATGGTGTTTGTATTCCAATGACTGACTCAGGTTTGGCATGTTCAGGAACATCAAAGGTTACAGAACTATTGTAGGTCAGGGGCCATGACCTGATTTGTGAACCTTATCCCCATTTGCAAGAGAACTGAACCAACATCCCTGTCCATTCCAAGATTCTCCTAGCCATCTAATGTATGGGACATTTTCCCTTAAATTCTACACAGATTGTGAACCCTATGGATCTCCCCTACTCACACATCTCAGTTCCATGTAGTCCTGAAATAGGAAAAGACTGTTGAACACTTCCAGGGTCATTAAATAATAACTCTGGTCTAGCCTGAGTGACATAAACATTGAAGAACTGACCAGGCTAGATTCAAAGACTTTCTAAGCTCACTCCCAGCCCATGAAGTGGCACTTAGTTCACTGATGGTGTTTGGCCACTGGCAGAACTGGGAGGTTTGTTTCCAACATGGTGAAGTTTCCTAGACTCGGGCTAGAGGTTTGCCTCTGTTTTTTCCCACTCAATATCTCTATGCTAATTATTTAATTCTTCTGAACTTCAAGGAGTTTATCTCAACAATGAAAGCGGTGAAACCCACCTTGAAAGGCTGCTCTAAGACTCACATTGGTCAATAAATCTAGAGCACATAGTGCCTCACTGCTTGCACAGAAGGTGTTCAACTCAAGTGACTGTCTAAAGTCCAACCACAGGGCCAGTTGTAGAGGAAGTTCAAAATTTCCTTAGGTAAACTCTTTAAAAGTGAGAGGGGTTTTCCCCTAACACAATAAACAAAGAAAACCAATAATTATTGAGAACCTGGTATATGCCAGTGGCTTTGCCCCCTTCTCTTATATAATCCCCTCAACAATGCTGTCTATTAGGTGTTATCATTTTCATTTTCTAGATAAGGAAACTGAGGCCCAGAAAAGCTGAGCTACTTTCCAAGTTCACCAACCTTGAAGTGGGAGAGCCTGTAAGTGAGAAACCCAGGGTCTGGAGGTCCTCCAGGCCTTTCTATGTCTGAAGCTCATGATTTTCTTCATTTAATGAGAGAAGAGTGAATTTTGTTTTATTTATTTTTTATTTTTTTAAAGATTTTATTTATTTATTTGATAGAGATCACAAGTAGGCAGAGAAGCAGACGGGCGGGGGGGGGGGGGGACCAGGCTCCCCGCTGAGCAGAGAGCCCGATGCGGGGCTCAATCCCAGGACCCTGGGATCATGACCTGAGCCGAAGGCAGAGGCTTAACCCACTGAGCCACCCAGGTGCCCAAACTTGTGGTTTTAGATGCAGACCAAATAAAAGTGAACAAGGTGTCTCATACACTTCCATATTTACAGTCCCTTTCATGTCCTTCAAAAAGAAATCTCCAGAAGCTAAAAAGCTAAAAAAGCTAAAAGCTTTAGCTTTTGTTCATGCTTAGCCTTCCTTCATAGTCACATCCCAAGACAATGTTTTTAAAAACACAGTAAAAAACAAATTTAAAAACACAACACAGATTTTATATTAGCTTCCATCCAACTTGGCACTCCATATTTTCTCTCTGGAGACTTTCTGAATATGAAGTGGAGGGGCCAGCTTGTGTGTGTGTGTGTGTGTGTGTGTGTCTGTGTGTCTGTGTGTCTGTGTGTGTGTGTAAGCATACTTGAGATATAGTTACCCTTGATAGCAAGAGACAGGAAGATCTCAGGCAGGTAAGAGGTGCTTCAGGATGGCATGACTGCATCCCCTAAAGCAGCTCAGTAAAGGGATTTTCTTACGTTCCTCATAAAACTACCTCTCAGCTTTAAGAGGGCCTCTTCCCTGCCTGCAGCACTGTCTCTGTGTAGTAACTCAACCATACTAGTGCCGACTTGAATCTCTGGAGTCCAGCCCATCTCACCTCGCCTCCTACCCATTCGCTTCTTCCCCTGCCTCCCTCCTGAGTTGTTTTTGGCAGAACAAGGAAAGGAGGCAAAAGTGATTGGAACCAACAAATGCAAGGGCAGCCATCATCTGTGGTACTGGTGCTCATAACACCACACATATAGTACTCACCTTCAGATGTCTCACTCAGAAACACTTCATGAACAATATGCAAGAAAACATTCATTAGGAGCCTTGCTGGATGTGGGGGAGATAAGACAGCAAAGATGGTCTTGAGCTCGTCTATCATAATAGCCCCAGCAATTGGGTCACAGGCCAGCATATAATAGATTCTGAACAAATATTTATTGAGTTAATAAAAGAGGAGAGAAATCATGGCAGGGGCAAAGATTATGGGCTTCAGAGTAAAGGAAGCTGGGTTTAAATTTTTAGTTATTTGACCTGAGATAAGTTACTTTTTTCTTATTCTCAGTTTCCTCATCTATAAATTAGGTCTAAGTATCCATTCAGTAAGATTTGACATGATTTAAAGTCTAAAGTGTGATCCTTACACAATGGATTTTTCTAAGATTTGGTTATGAATGAATGAGCCAATTAATTGAGAGAGAAGAGAAGTAGGAAATGTTCTAAATAGGCTACATGGGACTCAAGACATACCATGCCAAATGGAGTTTGGCTGTTCCGAATCACCTCCCAAAGACCACCCTCTACTTAATGGCCCAGGAGGCCTCTCACACTCGTGGCCTGGATAGAGTCACTTTCTACAAAATAGGAGATAAAGGCAAAGCTGGTTCTTTAGGGCAAACTTAGAGACTTTCTTAACCTGCCTTCCAGTGACTCACCACAGCATCTCCCCTTCAGCTCCCTTATATCTACAGCTTGAGTGCTGCAAGCCACCTGCTGCCCAGGTCATCTTTCTGGGGGGCACTGTCCATATGCCACATGCATGCCAACGACTCACACATTTACATCTTCAGCTAGACCTCTCTTCTGACCTCCAGCCTCACTCAGCATCACCACTTGCATATCCAAAAGGTGTCTTAAATAACATATACCAGAAACACTCCACTGATGTTCCCCCCCAATTCTTGCTCCTCCATGTCCTTCCCAATTTAGCTTATCATAAAGTCATCCTTCCCATCATGCAGGTCCTTTCGTGGGGGACGAAAGATTCAGAGGTGCCAACGGCCAGGAGTCCTTGAGTCCTTGGAGTGCAAGGCCATGGCTCAGAAGAACCCCGCAGTCCACACCAACAACCTGCCCTACGGAGACCTGGCCTCTGAGGTGAACAGGCGCAGAGTCACCATGGCCACGGGAGAAGAGATCTCTACCAAGAAAAGTGATGAAGCCGGGGAGATGCCCCCTACTCTGGACTTGGAGCAAGGCCCTGCTGGCATGGCTGGCCCTTCAGAACCTCCCGCGCCGCCTCCTTCCCCCGCTGAAGACTGCAGAGTCTCAGCCGGCT